ACCAGTTGCCATCCAAGGCTATAGAACCCAGTCTGTCCTACTATTTACCCATAGCTGGGGCTGGAGGGAGAAGAGGATTAATACCTTTTTCAAGGGTATTAGCACGTAAGTGAGTGTGATGGATTCGACTATATATATATATATATATATATATATATATATATATATATATATATCCAAGTATAGGATTGGTGTATACGTAATAAATTCCAATAACAAAAGAATACTATTCTTAAACGAGTACTCAATACAGAGTAGAACAAATATAATTTATTCGAAAATTATAACATAAATATGTTATAAAATCACTACAGAAAGAGCTATTTTGTTTCAACACCTCTGGTGTCTTATCAAGTGATGGTGTTATCATTTGATAAGACACCAGAAGTGTTGAAACAAAATGGCTATTTTTGTGATCATCTTATAACATATTTATATTATAATTTTCGAATAAATTACATATATATATATATATATATATATATATATATATATATATATATATATATATATAGCCGTTTGTGCATTTGCTCTTGATTGAGATTTGGTGAGGGAGCATCGTTAAACCAGTTAAGCTGCCCTTTTTATGATCATTGTTATTATCTGTATTTCGCTATTACCAATTTACGTTAATGGAAAACTTTTTTGTTACTCTTTCTGTTACCTCGTGTTGTTTTAAACATTACCGTTTTTGATCGCTATTATTATAACATTTTGTGCCCCTCTTAAGACATTCAAATAGGTTCAACCGCATTACGTGAAGCGCTGCCAATACTTCGTAAATAATGGACTATTCCGTTTTGATCGCGGGGAAAGACAGAAAAGAACTATCAGAGACGCTGCTTGGTTTCTGTGAGGAAAAGAAAGCGAGCAGAAGTGGTAACGGTCTCACGCGTTTAACGTCTGCTGCAGTGAAATCTAAAATCATAAAATCGTGTCAATATTAAATATTTTCATTTGTACCCTCTTTTTTTTAACTAATGATCTGCATTCCTACTTATGATCGTTATTACAATATTTAATTAAAGTTGTTAAACTCAAATATTTAACGATGCATTAAGGAGATTTCCATGGGTATTTTATAGTCGTGGAACACTCAGTGAGCTTATTTATTCGTTAAATTTTATATATCCGAAAATTAAAAAAAAAATCGTGAAATTGAAATGGATAATATCAGTAAAAAAAATTAGGAGTGTTTATTTTAATTAACTATAAACATTAATATCATCGTTTATTACTGTATTTATTTCTTGATTATTTTACAGGTTAAGACATTTTTCTTAATATTTTTTTTCAGCCGAAACGGCCAACTGTCAAGTTATCATCCATGAACCGTGTCTGAAATATAGCTACAACTACACACGAATGGATGCTCAAATGAATACTTACAATCAAGACCAGGCCATGTCGATGATGGAACAATTCTTGGACGCTGCTTTACACTACAGCTGTACAGGTCCCCTCATTCTTCACTTCACTTGCTCTATTTTTTTCCCCAAATGCCAACAAGGCAGGGTCATCATGCCGTGTCCAGAGCTTTGCCATAGTAAGTGATCCTTTATTGTTGATCAAATTTTGCGAAATTAACAAATTAACTTTTTATTGTGGGTTTGATTCTAGTGCAACAAATTGGTTGCAATAATTATACGTATTTTTCTATTTACAGAAAAATGAAAATATATATAGGTTGCGATGGATAAAGTGCCATCTAAATTACGCAAAAAATGAAAATAACACTGACATCTCATTTTAACAGATATATTTACCAAAGTTACACAAAAACCACTTGAAATACTAAAGAGTAAATTTATTCAAAAAAATCGCCAATGGCTTCAAACATGGCCTCCGGATTATTTCAGAATCTCCTGCAACTCCTCTGGACGGTCTCCTTGTTTAAGTTGGTGAATGCTGCCATAATCATTGCCTTCAGTTGCCAGATATAGGTTCTTCCAGTAGCCACTCTTTTCACCCAGGTCATACTACCTTCTCAAGGTAGTTGATGATATAGGCCTCCTTGTTGTGTCTGTGACCATGTGGGAAGATGGATAGAGGCATAACGTCGCTATCACTAGTGATCACTCCAAACACCTTCGTAATTACCCTTAGACTCATCTCTTTCCGAATCCTCTGCATTGTCTTCATATTGACAGCAAAACACTCTCAATTGTTTGTATTGGAGCTTCCGTTCAGCTAATGTTCTCGTCATTGTCTACCTAGATACGACCGACCGTTTTAAATTCTGAGTGAGAGTTCAGTGTAGATGAGCCGAGCACCACTTTGTGCTACAAAGGCAAAAACAAATCCTCATGGTCTGTTTTGACGGTCAAACGTAATCTGAGAAATGTTTCTGTGAGATGCTTTCTAAACCAAGGGGATTTCATTGTTAAGAGACTATGTTCTTTACCATTCTATTAGTTCCACCAAAATATGGTTGACAAATCTATTTTGTGATCGTGTCCTTACTTGATTCATCACTTATGATTTGAAGTTTTATATAGTCAAAAATAACAGGTCGGAAGTCTTATAGCAAAGATAATTTATGGGATGCTTTTCTTGTGTGGCATTTTAAACATAATTTTTACCTGCTTATTTTGTTTCTTGAAGCTGAGTAATACAATGATTGCCAGGTTTGAACAACTGAATGTTGTTAAAGTATTATTACGTATTTATCCACCTTGTCTTACACTAAACATTCTTGTACAATTATGGCATTATTGGTGCATTAATGCCTAAATTATAAGCAAAGAACGTGGATAAACACATGAAACCAAGTGAAGAACGTGGATCAAGACAAGTTTCCAATAACATTTTTTCAAAATATTCTCTGATGAAATGGGAAGGGATTTCTATATGCAAATCAGTCAGTTATGTGCCATCATGTATCGAAAGATACATGACTGACTTTTTTCCTGTAGTAGGTTGCGGTAGATACTTTTCCCAAGGGTATTATTAGCACGTAAATGAATGTAATGGATTCGACTGGAATTTGAACTCGGCTCTCCGATTTCTCAATCCTAGCTATCCATTACTCCACCGTATATGCAACTGTACAAATAAATAATCAACAAGTGTTTTGGAAACGGTTGTGCTGATATACCTCTGAGTACCAAGTTCTTCAAATCCTATCTTTGACCAAGTGAATTGTACTCTCCTTAGTATAAAAGTGGTTTTCACTCTGAAGTGACAATTTCCATTTCTCTCCTATAAAATATTGTTTTTATTTTAAAAAATAATGGACATTTTAAGTTTTTATATCATGGGTATTTTGTAAGTTCCTTGTGAATATGTGGTATTGTGGTGTATGTCGGATTGAATGGTGATGGATGAGTTCTTGTGGTGAATACGTAAATTGCAATGAATGAATGGGCCGTGAATCTGATTAGCTAGGTCTAGGATAATTAATGTTGACTATCTTCTCCTCACTTTTCCTTCGGCATTTTGCCACAATTGTAAAAAGCAACAATGTCAACATTCATAATTTGATTGGAACTGACAAACGTCCTTTATTTTGTTAATCACTCGTAACAAATTTAGAATGTAGAACATTTGATAGATTTTTCGAATTCGTTAGATGAAGAGATCAAAGATAGTGATGTTGATATTTTTTCCGATTTGTTCTATTCATAAAGATTCAGAGTGCGACACTTAATAGAGAACAAATTATTAAATAAAGAAAAACAAACAAATTGATACAATATGATGATGATCTGCAAATAAAAAGGAGCAGAGCAACCATACTACTTCTTATTTTCTGTATGTGTGTCAACCTTTCCTATTTACAATAAAAACAATTTTTTAATGTCATGGGTGTTTTTGTAGTTTCTTTGTAAATATGTGGTATTGTGGTGTATGTCGAACTGAATGGTGATGGATGAGTTCTTGTGGTGAATGCGTAAATTGTAATGAATGAATGGGTCGTGAATCTGTATAGCTAGGTTTAGGATAATTAATGTTGATCATCCTCTTCTCTCTTCCCCTTCGACATTGTGCCAAAATTGTTTCTATACATAAACAATAAATGTACTCTCCTATAAAATACTGCTATCGAAGCTCGCTTTGACTCAATTCTAGCATTGCGGGGACAAGTTGTGGCATTTTGGTGAAGAAGTAAGAATAATATGCAAAATGATGCGTTACGGTGAATGGAACATTATCGGATGAGAGGGTCAGTGATTGAGACTGCCTATGTCGGACAGATGAAGACCAGTCACCTCCCTACCATTTTCGGCCTTGTGCTATATTTGATGTTTATTTTCATCAATATATACTTGATACTCGCATTGACCACCGAACGAATGTTTAATTCAAAGCGTTTGTTTTTATTTGTCTCAACTCAAAAACGTTTACAATAGATAACCAGTTTTAAGGGTTTTCCAATTTTGCAAAATATATAAGAAATTCTATTTTGAATAGATGGTCGTAAACAAAGTGATAATTGAGATTGCGATTTTAATTACACTTAATTAGTAACATAACTTTCTGATTAGCGAAAGCCTTTAGCAACTTGAATATTAAATCTGCAACGCCGTATCTGGAAATAGTTATTTTCAGCTCTGACAGCGGCTGATATGTCCACTGCTATTGCTGATGTAGCCGTGTCTCTTTCTTGTTGTAACTACTGCTACTTTTCTCTCTGTACTTTTCACGAGTGCTGCTAAGATCATGTCTTTTTGCGGATGATAGGCAACTGTATTATCATACTTTCATTTTAATTGTGGAAAATAACAATTCTACCAATTCGGCTATTTACAAGAAAACAAAGAGCCTGCTGCTCAATACTGACACATTTATATTATGTTTAAAAAAAAACAACAAAAATTCGAGCAATAATAAGTGTCCTCATAGAGACCAACATTGGAATAATTTAACCCGGAAATCTGTAGAAAAATCCTTTTTCAATACCTCTTAAATTTCTCCAGTCATTTTTTTTTATTTACTCCCTCGTTATTTATTTTTCACAATCTCCCTGCTTTCATTTCTTTTTCGTTTTTTTTATTTTATTTTATTTTTTACTTCCTTCTCTTTTTACTGTGATATTATTTGTTGTTGCAGTAGCGTTGTTACAATCCCCTTCTTTCAGTGATTGTTGCGGTGTTTTATCATTTTATTAAGATTATTTTTCAAAAGTCTATACAAAAAAAAAAAGAATATTTTTTGTTTCCAATTCTCTTTATGAAATCTTTCTTTCGTGTATATATCTCATTGATTAAAGAAAACAAAATGCAAGCAAATTACTATACACACACAATCCAATAACAATTACGTACATATAAAATAAAAAAATATAATTCACAGTTGTATGCGTATGTGACTACTGGATTTATACGTTGGCTTAATTATAAAGCAGTACGTCCATAAACACAAGAAAATGAAACGAACTGATACAACCTTGCTTTGTTTATGCTTTCTTCGTAAGATCAAAAATGAAACGTAGGTAATGGTAAATTCATCAAATCAAATATAGAATAATAGTCGATACAATTAAATAAAAACTTTATTGATTCTGTTTTTTTTAATCAAGTTTTAAAAGTATATCTGTCAATCAATATATCATTGCCAGAGACAAGCACGTGAATATAAATTCAAATATAATTTGCCATTTGTTTACTCAACTGTGAAAAATACATTTAAAAAAATCTTATCTTGTCGCCAATAATCGAATAAAGAAAAATACAGGAACTTGTTTGATTTCTTCATTGACAGACTACGAATCTCGATTAAATTAACCTTTTTTAGTCGTTAAATTGAATATAAAAAGTCGATTTCAAAATACTTTTATATTTTTGCCCGAAACAATTGCTTTGTTCATATTCTTTGATTTTTTTCCCCGTTAATTTTCCTTTTTCTTTCTTTATAACCTAAAACTACTGAGAAAAAACATAACATTCCTTTCTTCAATCTATTTTTTTAGGTTTTAAAAATAAAAATATAGTCACCTTTAATTTTTCAGTCGAATCTGCTACGTTAATGTTATTGTTTGTTCAACATTATCTTTGCATTTTAAGAAATTATTATTATTATTTCATTTTCAATGTAATAATTTATCTGGGGAGCTAAAAATTTATTAGGACAGTTTATTGACCAAAAGTATTAACTTGTAAATATTTCTTTCGTTAAATATATTTTTGTTAAAATGAATGCCATAGTATTTGATTGAGAGAAGATTGTTTAACATTAATCATCTTCCAAGGGGTAGAGCACCCCATGAACTTTACCCAATATCTTGTTGCTTAACTTCGACTGTTGTAATTTTCTTCTTTTTTATTTTTTTCTTAATTTTTTTCTCTTCCTCTTCCACTTAGCATATTTATTAATTTATTTTTTTTTTAAAAATGAGAAGTGGATGGGGAATGTCCACTATCCATCCCTGGTCATGTCCATTGACAATAGCAATAATGACCGTATTCATGTGTCGCCAGTCTGCCTCTTTACCGCCTCGTATTTTCTTTTCGTTTACTACGTCTGCTTCCAAAGGTCCAGATACGTCAAGTTCGCTCGCTTTGCCCAATAAACATCATCAATCACGCCTGACTAACCATAAGGCCCAACCTCAAACCACACCAAATTTATTTTCGTCAACACTCATTGCTAAATCGACATCTGTTTTATTAGCCCAGTTCTCTCGAAAATCTACACCAGGAACTGTAAAAGATTCACTGAAACTAACTCGCTCCTTACAAAAGAATGTGAACGTACAAAGTCTGGAAAGCAGGGCCAATAACAACCACGGTACAGCAAATAAAACCACAAACAATGGTAACTTTTTTCAGAAAGTTCAAAAGACTGATAACGATCTGCTGGTACGAAAGCTTCATCCCCAACCACTGCAGGTGGAAGCAATCACTCGTCAAACCCAGGTACAGCAAACAGCAGGGTGCCCACCCTTAAATGAGAGCTTCGTTCTAACAAATGATTCGGAGTCGTGCAGGACCTGCTTATGTGATGAAGACATTGTAGCCTTTTCTTTGACAACTGTAGGCTTCGCAACATCAACACCTCTGGCCGAAAATGATAGAAAGGATATAAAAGAAAACCCTCGCGCCACGATATCAACCACAAACAATAATATTGCTAGCAATAATGAAAGTTTGACTGAAGAAAATGATTACCAGCTAAACCGGTCTCCGCCACGGTGTAGGTGGATACCTTGCATTAACGTGACATTTGGACGTAACGAAAGTTACAACAACAACAAAGACGCTTTTAAAGTGGGCAAATGTCTCATAGCTGTAGCTTGTGTTATAGCCTTCCTGTCGATATTCGGCTTTTTTCTTTCTGTTCACCGATTCTGTGAGCGAAGAGGACATTTCCAACTTGCATCTAGCGACGAGGATTTGTACTGAAAATGAACAGGAGAATAGTTAAAGGCGTATTTTTGTATTTTGTATTCAGTTATTTTCAACGAGTGCATTTTTTCTCTCTCTTCCTCTTTATTTATTGCTTGAATCAGAAGAGATGTGAAAAACAACTGCTGTATGCATCGAGTAAAAATATCTGGACACCCGTGTATTCAAAGCAGATGGTGACAAGAATTGATTCTGGTACTGCCAGTAGAAAAAAATACATACGCAATTTTCTGAAAAGTAAAAAAAAAATGTTTTAAATTGTGAAATAGACAAATTAAAATTGACTTAGAAACAAAAATAGAATCTATTGTCTCTTACATGCGTGTTGATGGATTTTAAATGAACATTACAAATATGTACAAATAACGACTTTCTATCTATCTATCCATTTATATATATATATATATATATATATATATATATATATATATATATATATATAGCTAAACATATTCATACGGGTATTTGTACATTTCTATTAATTTATATAATCATGAAAATTCATATGTAGATATACAAGTCTATAAATACGTGCGTGTTTATGCATGCGTATATGGGCATAGGAATCAACACTGCTGTTAGTTTCCCGTTGATTCCTATGTTAACACTGCCAATTTCTATAAACGCTCTATCTATGATACTAAGCACTGTCCCCCATAAATATAGCAATTTTTAAACACACACGTGTGTGTGTGAACAAAAATAAACTGTCACCATTCCGTGTTTCAACATGGAATAGTGACAGCTTATTTCATGCTTGAGCGCAATTACCATTCAGTGATGAGCTCTGTGTCCACATTACTTGTATTTACTTATAATTTATATGCCTCTATCCCGTATATTGATCACTTTAACCTTATAAATATAGTATACCTTAAAAGTATATTTTATCATATGTGCATTACATATAAATTTAAATCATATATATATATATATATATATATATATATTTAAATTTAAATTTAAATATATATATATATATATATATATATATATATATATATATATATTGTAAATTTAAATCATATATATATATATATTGTAAATTTAAATCATATATATATATATATATATATATTGTAAATTTAAATCATATATATATATATATATATATATATATTGTAAATTTAATATATATATATATATATATATATATATATATATATATTGTAAATTTAAAATATATATATATATATATATATATATATATTGTAAATTTAAATCATATATATATATATATATATATATTGTAAATTTAAATCATATATATATATATATATATATATATATATATTGTAAATTTAAATCATATATATATATATATATATATATATATATAATTTAAAATATATATATATATATATATATATATATATATATATTGTAAATTTAAATCATATATATATATATATATATATATATATTAAATTTAAATCATATATATATATATATATATATATATATATATATATTGTAAATTTAAATCATATATATATATATATATATATTGTAAATTTAAATCATATATATATATATATATATTGTAAATTTAAATCATATATATATATATATATATATATATATATTGTAAATTAAATATATATATATATATATATATATATATATATATATATTGTAAATTTAAATCATATATATATATATATATATATATATATATATATTCATATATATATATATAAATATATAAATATATATATATATATATATATATATATATATATATATATATATATAACAAATTCACCCACTAAGTAGTGCTATGTAGACGCATAGAAACATATCTCAATACTTTGCAGCAGAGTTAGTATAGCGTCAAGATGCTGAAAATAACATCAATCTGCTAAGTGACAAATCTTATATTTGTATTATCAGGAACAATTGGGGGAAAATGTATGACAAAATGGGAAAAAGTTTTTGTGACGCGTTTCGTTCTTTAGTACTTTTAAGTAAAGGAAAAGACGGAAACCTATGTAGTGGTGACGCGTTTCGTTCCGAGAAAGAACGTAAGACAAATGCATATAGATTAATACTCTTGTGTGCGTGTGTGTGTGTGTGTAATAGAGAAAGTGAGAGAGGGGAGTTTATGTTAGGAATAACTGTGTATGTAATAGAGAAATTCTGAAAGAGAGAGGGAAAGAGATATCAGGAATATCTGACTGTAAAGATCAGCGTATTTTTGTACTAAATCCATTAATGCAAAAAACAAAATGACTTTATATATTTATTGCTCTTTCATCCTCATCTTTATTATGAGATGAGATATTTCTGTTGTTATGAGTAACAAAAGACATTGCATGGCATCAGTAGGCAAACATGCATTTTGCTAACAACATAACGGAATATTTGGTTAGTATGTAGGTAAGATTAGGCTGCTAATACATTGCTTTTTTGTTTCGTGTTAGCATTTTTTTTTATATTTTTACCTTCTTTCTTGCAAGCATAGAAAAAATCATACACCTGCAGATGATACCACCAACGCAATTGCAAAATAATTTAAATATTGCTTTCATTGTTTTTACTGTATAGGTAAATTATTATTATATATTATTATATATATTATTATTATATATTATTATTATTATTATTTATCATTATTATATATTATTATTATTATTATTATTATTATTATATAAAAGTCCCCTAATTGTGGTGCGATTCAATAGATACGTTGGTGTGCTCATGCCTTTTTTGAAAGGCCCATTAAGAATCTATACATGTGATTGACAACCAGAACTGAAATTGATTTACTTATTCCTTGTTTTGAGGCTCGATTTATAATATAATTTCGTTGCATTTTATGCGATGATCAAAATTTGAAATTGCGTTTCTCTGCTAATCGTTCCTTCTTTCTCTTCCTTGCATTTTTTCTTCGATATCTTTTAGAATTTTTTCAAATTGTTTCTTAAATATTTTTCTCTCTTTTTAACTTTTTGTTTTTCACTTCTTTTTCTTTTTCTTTTGTTTTTCTCTTCCTTTTTCTCACTCTCATTTGTTTTTCTCCTTCTTTTTTCACTTTCTTTTGTTTTTCTCTTTCTTTTCTCTTGTTTTTCTCTTTCCTTTGTTTTTCTCTTTCTCTTTCTTTTATTTTTCTCTTACTTTTTGCTTCTCTATTTTTATTTCTTTTTGCTTTTCTCTTCCTTTTTTTCTTTTCCTTTTTTGTTTCTCATTTTTCTTTCGTTTTTCTCTTCTTTTTTTCTCTTTCTTTTGTTTTCTTCTTACTTTTTTTCTCAGTATCTGTCTATATTTCTGAGATGAGGTATTATGTACATTATTCGGACTATTCTCCTCATCTTTGTCGCTATATTTATTACAACGTTTCGGCCGTTGTACGCTCCGGCCTTCTTCAGGTGTTTGGAATGTCGAACTGAACCCTTTATTTCGCTCACTGGGGTAGACTGTTCTCCACGTGCCATGTTTAATGAATGTCAGTTATCAGTTATCTCCAAGTTCTCCACTGACTTAACCGGGTATTGAACTCACACCCTTTGGGTCCTGGATCTAACTAACGCCTTTATCCACTGTGCCATGTGTCATAGGCTTATCATTTAATTTTACCTGGTAATGAAACGCTTCCTGTGTATGTGCACTTTTCATGGCCGGAGCGTGCAACGGCCGAAACGTTGTAATAAATATGGCGATAAAGATGAGGACAATAGTCCGAATAATGTAAATAATGTACTTTTTCTCTATGTCTTGCTTTTCTCTTTTGTCGCCTTCTTTTTGCTTTTCTATTCCTTTTTTTTTCTCTTCTTTTTCTCTTTCTTTTCTTTTTCTCTTTCTTCCATTTTCTCTCTTTTTCTTTGTTTTCCTTTCTTTTTCGGTATCACATTGTATTTTTAGATTGTGTATTAGACTTTAGTAATGCAGTCATATAACAAAAATATGAGCTATAAATATTTTTAAGTTCTTGTCATATTTAAGCATCCACAATTCATTATAATAAGTCACTTCTTCTTGATCATCATTCAAGACGAGAGATGATTTTTGTACAGCTTGATCTAAGAAATTACTAAATAAACGTCCATTGCTACTAAGCCAATTTTCATTTCTTCAAACATTTTTTTATAATTCTTTATTGTAGGTGCCTCAAAAGATTCGCTAATAAAAGAGCATACATGATGGAAAAAATGCCACCAAAGTAATAAAAATAAAATTTTATCATCAAAATCTTTATCATTAAGAGGAAATACCAAAGTAATTTTTTTTAATTTTTTTTTTCTTAATGAAATTTTCAGGACTTATTCCCAAATAAATGTAATTGTTTTCGAAACGTTTTGTTTTTAGAAAATCTTGATAGAAATAATTTTTGTTTTACATGTTTCCCTCCTTCCCCCCAATTATTTAATTTTATAAAATTTCGAAAAATTCTTTTTTTGTATGGCTTAATGTTTATATTAATTATAACCAGAAGTCCTTTGAGAATTTAAATAATTCTTTATGTAAAACAGGATCCCAGTTACCGAATATCTGCTCTGGACCATAAAATAAATGATGCAAAAAACTAAGATATTATTTAATTAGAAACGCTTTTTAATTGTTTCTATAAGTAAGATAAATTATGGACACTACTGTCTTCAGAAAAAAAAATTTCAATGAATAATGAATTTTTACAAAAATTGTTTTCACTTTTAAAAAATTTTAATTAGAATAATTTATAAAGTTTTAAACCTTAAAATTTTGTATTAATTTGCACTGGTTAGGTGATATTGTTATTAAGTAAAAACTATACTAATCATAAATGCAAAAGCTTACTACAATACAGCGCCCCCACCCCCAGTATTTATAAAGAATTTAGATATTTTTGTTTGTAAAAAACGTGCCTATTTTAGTGAATACGGATGTCCATAAGCGACATTAGAAAATAAGACCGGTAAATATTATAAATTTAATGCAAAGTTTCTAAAATTCAGTAAAACATTAGATTATTTAGAATATTTTCTTAAAATTTTAAGTTTACTGAATAGTTCAAAAGTATATATATATATATATATATATATATATATATATATATATATATATATATATATATATATATAAGGCGCTCACATTATATTCATCAAGTAATTTTTACAGAGATATATCGCCAGTAGAAAAAATAATTAAATTTTCAGTTGTCAATACAGCTATCAACACCTCATAAAAACACCCACCTCCGTGTTAAAAAATGCATTTCTGCAGTATTTTAAATTAAAAGTAATATTTGTCTCAAATCAGATTAATTAAACTTTAAATCGGGTAACCTTCCTCAAAATTTCAGAAAATTATATTTTATTTTTTAAAGATTTTTAATAAAGAGAATTACGTTGTGCTGAGAGAATCGTAATATGGCTAAAATCCGCCATTTTTTAGAAATTAAAAAAAAATCATTCCAATTAATTTAAATTCATTTTGAAATACAGCAAAGTATTTTCCTTAATGGAAATATTAAATTAATCTATTAGCTTGAAATTAAAACTAAAGTAAAAGATTCAAGAAAGATTTTTTTTCATTTTTAAAAATCAATTTTAAAAACAGGTATCACGTTCCTTTGGAGGCACCTTACTTTATTGTCTTCTTTAGTTATCAAAGCTTGTCTTTCCGTTCGTTCTAATTCTTTCTTTCAACGATCTTTCTTTTTTTTCTTTTTTTTTTTTTCTGAGATCGAAATATGCAGTTTTTATTGATAATGAACAGATAACGTGAGAGAAAGATATTAAAAAGTAAAAAGGAATTCCCCTGAATTATTTCCACGGAAATTACGATAAATACAGGGAGCAAGATTTCCGCTACAAAATATTTCCATCAGATATATAGCTAGCTAGACATATAGTAAGTTTTCAGCTACAAAACTATTTTTCATGTGGTCACTTAGAGTGACTATGCATTTTTGTTAGGTATATAGATAGATAGACAAAGAGCAAGTTTTCAGCCTGAAATGAAGAGCCTGTATGTCCCACTCGTAAAAATCTGCACCGACCGAGGCGACTCATTTTTTTTTTTACATGCACAAATCGTTGTTACCATTACTGACAAGCGTTACCGATTGCCTAACAATGCTCACATCCACAGTTACGTTTCTGTAAACGTTCAGTAGGCGTCGATGGATGCCAATGGGTTTAATTTTTCCACATGGAGGAATTCAGTGATACGCTTCCATTTCGTACGCACTTTCATGCCAGACACAACTTTACCAGACCACCGCTCAGCTGCTATCTATACCAAGACATATATATTATTTAAACGTTATTTTTAGTGGATACTCATATTTGAGTAGCCACTTCGTTTATTTATTAAACAGTATATTTATTTATTTTCGTTTACCGACCTGAATATTCGAAAAATCTTATTAAACAAAAATATGCGCTCTCCGACTAGTGGAAACCGTTATCAGATCTGACGTGCTTTGACCTCACGGTTACGGAGTGCGTCGATGACTAAGCAAAGTTTGAATAGTGCCTTTAAACACAGATTTCTCTCTGACTCTTGAAAAGACATATCTGCTCAGATTCGTATCGTAACTTAAAAAAAAAAACGATTTATAAAGAATGGGGAAGGTTTTTTTTATTTATTATTAATCCGAGAGATTTTTTATTACTTATATATATATATATATATGAATATTTATTTATTTCCGTCTACTGGCCTGAAAATAAATATACTTTTTAATAAATAAACGGAGCGTCAACTCAAATACGAGTATTCGCTAAAATAACGTTTACGTAATAAAAATCTGTCAGATTAATAAATAAAAAAAATCAATCCCCTTTGTGTATTTACACACACACATATATATATATATATATATACCAAGAGAGTAAAAGATAATAACATTACTAAACTAACTAAATATATATATATATATATTAGTTAGTTTAGTAATATTATTATTTAATATTACTAGACTAAGTAACTAATATATATATATATATATATATATATATATATATATATATAGTTAGTTAGTAATATTATTATTTAATATTACTAGACTAAGTAACTAACTATATACATATATATAGTTCGTTAGTAATATTATTATTTAATATTACTAGATTATAACTAACTATATATATATATATATATATATAGTTAGTTAGTTAGTTAGTTTAGTAATATTATTATCAATTACTCTCTTGGCTTTTTGAAAAAAAATTAGAGTTACCCTCACCTTGATTTCCTAACGCCCCTTTTTTGTTTTCAAAACCAGCGTCTCTCTAATTTAGAATTTATATTTTCTTATTTCCAACTTTATTTTCAATCTTAAATGTTAATCTGAGCTTAAATTCAAAATTAAACTACAATTCATTTAAATATTTTAACTCCAGTAATATTCCACCCCAAATATATCTCACGTGAAACAGAAAATTAAACTCGGCATGAAACTCGGAGTTGTGCAATTAATGTAAAATATTATGTATTTTTCTTAATATATATATATTAAATCCGCTTCTGGGTCCACGTAATAAAACTACTTTCAAGTAATTCTCTCTTTCGTGAGTGGGTGTGACAGGCATTGTTACTACGTCCTCTGTGTCCCGAATTGGTGTTTAGCGAACTACGGCTGTTGTTTCCTAGGGGTTGATCTCTGTCTTCAGACCAATATCTCAAAGTTGTACTGTCTTGGTTTTTCACAGAATCTTTTTGCCAGGCGGAAGGTTTTCTTATAATAATAAATGGTATAACGCATGGGGTTTATATCTTATTGTTTCCAGCAGGAAAACGTTGCGACGGAGAGGGCATAGCGAGTGAGAGAACCTCCCTATTCTAGTTTTTTTAAGGCCATCTACTCACTACCCAGAAATACATACAAAAATACACACACACACACACATTTGTGTGTGTGTGTGTGTGTGTGTGTGTGTGTGTGTGTGTGTGTGTGTACACTCACTCACTCATACAAAATTTATATATCAGAAATACTTACTTCTTGTATGCTAAAGATCCTGATTGTGGCTTTTACCGAAACTTGCCTTCATGGACATACTGATGACAAGGATTTTTGTCCACCAAACTTCAAGTGTTACCGAAAAGATCGTGACCTAAATTAATATCCAGGTGGTACTTATATCAATCCTTGCAGAAGTGGAATAATACTGTTTGTTAAGGTACCCTAAGTCCTTATAGCGAAATGAAAGGTGATGTTGGTACTGAAATTGTTGTTAATAACCAATCCTGTGTTCGACATCAGCTGTTGTTGTTATAGACCTGAAGTTGCTGAAACAATTATGTTACCCAAAGCTTGCACTTCTGTTGAGAAAAAAATCCTTTGCTTTACA